CTCGATAATGAACTCGATAAGGTGTCTACTCAAGTTCTTTATTAATTAATGCACATGAAAATCATCTCTGAAGCTTATTTTCAATATTTATATGAAAGGTGACTCAATATATGATGATATAACTTTTAGTTTATGTATGTTAGCTTCTGATTGAGCCATTCAAACTTCTAATCGAGCACAGGAACCTCCAATATCAAATTTATGAATTTGAATCTTGCTATTTCCATTTGATCTTACAAGCTCTTCTTCTCTTAATCTCTCTTCTTCTTCCTCTTGATCATTCTTCATAACTCAAAGTTCAACATAATAACTCCTTTCTTTTCTTGAGGAAACTACACAAAATATTAAGTATAGTAGTCAATCAAAGTATAAGATAAATAATTTATGCAAACTTTTTGCTCTACTATTTGACATCATCAAAACCAATCATCATATCTAACAACCTCCTTATCATGGTGCATACTTCTCTAGCCTCCATATCCTCTACGGACCCGTTTGCAATGACATTCAACATACCTGTGGTGCTTCTCTTGGATTTGATGGTTAGGGCACCTAGACAGCATATCCTGAAATCTCCTCCAGAAGTCAAACAATGATTCTATCTCATCTTGCTTGGCAGATGATATCTCCTTCCTAGCAACAGAAGCTTTATTGGAAAGGAAGTATTTCTCAAGGAATGCCCTTCTCATATTTGCACATGACAGTTAGGTATTCTCCATGTATATATGCAGATTCATGTACCACTCCTTAACTTTACCTTCGAGAGAGAGGTGAAAGACCTTCCACATGACATCCTCCAATCTAGCAGCAACAGGCTTCATTATCATGCAATGCATATGGAGAGCATTGAGATATATATAGGCATTTTCACCTACCAAACCATAGAATTTAGGTAGTAAGTGTACTAAGGGACCTTTAATCTCAAAATCAATAGTAAAATTAGGAATAGCACAATACAATTACTTAAAATTAGCAACATATTGGGTAAGTTCCCTAATGGTCCTCCTTCTATGGTTTCCCCATTGTTATCCCTTACTCTCATGTCCATTACCTCCATTCTCTCTATGTTTGAGTGGGTCATTGTTATTTTGGGGATCCTTAGGTATGACACGACCACCATGACCTCTCTCGGCCATAGGTTCTATTGGATCTGAGGTATCAAGGTCAAATTCAGGTTGGTGTCACTAGATAATAGGTCAAATTCGTCAGAAGTGGTTTCTTTCTCAACTAATACCTCACTGGTTCCCTCAACTCTTTTCTCTCCCCAAAGCTTAGTTAGGGATCTCTCAACTTCAGGGTTAAGGGTAATTGGAGTTTTGGAACTAGTCTTAGTTTTTCTTGGCATGCACAAACACAAAGTTCAAATTGAAAAACAAGAAACAATGAATGCAAGGATGTATGGAGTATGTGCAAGTACGAGGGTGTATGTATGCAGCAGATAAAAATTGTTTCCAAAACTTTTCAAAAAGTTTGGCCGCAGTGAAGCGGAAAGATTGCTGCTGTTACACCTTACTATCAAATCAGCTTAGGGTTCAATTATACTCATTTTAGGCCATATTGGATGGTCTTGGGCTCAAAAATCACATTGAGGACATTACTTTTCATATTTTTACTGTTCATATGGTAAAATCCAATTTTCTATACCAATTTCAAAACTTCATAACTTCATCTAGAAAAATCAAAAGGGCATTGTTCAAAATTCTATGAAAAACTCTTTGAATGTTCTTTCAAGGAAAAATAATCTTGTGAACTAATTTCATTTGAGAAAGTGTCAGGTTTTTGTGGAAGTCACCACTGTCTTTTTGGTAAAAATCCTTTTTTCATATTTTGAACCTTAACTTTGAAAAATCATTATAAATCGCACAGTTGTCCATTTTTAATGTGATACCTATCAAATTGAAGCTCAGGACGTGTCTATATTCATTCCAAATTTTGTGATTTAAAACATTTGGGAACCTAATCAAAATGTAGCTGCAAGTTGACAGTTCAGTTAGGGTTATAGCACCAACCATGCATACTTATACATAACCAAAATAGAATTGTTTCCCATGGTTCCACCACCACATTTACCCTTGAATTTGCAGCTTCCCTTTGGATGATTCAGGCCTAAAATATTGGATTATTTTGGGAGGGTAAGATTTTAATGAAATCCCAATAGCAAGAATAATTAACCACAACATCAACATGTATCAATTACAAGCATTCTAACCTTTTGCTATTAATAGGGAACTATTTTACCTCATACATGTAGCACTCTAACATGCAATAGCCAAGGAACTTAGAGTAGGAGTATAGCTACACAATCATCATCATCATCATCATCATCATCATCATCATCATCATCATCTAGCTTAACCACATGATAGCACATGAAATTGCATAACAATCAATGCAATAATTAACATTAAAGTTCGTTAAATTTTGCTACCTTGATCCAAAAGCTTTTTGATTCTTTGATCCTCTTCCTATCCTCCACAAATATCAAACCCTAACATCACAATGCATAAAAACGGCAGTAAGATTACCAACCAAACTATATGAAAATCAATAACAAAACTCAAGCAATTCCTTAGCCTTTAAAGCTTCAATCTTTATTCTTAATTTTAGAACTTTGTTTTCTTAATCCCTAAAAATCCTTTCTTAGTTTACTCCTACATGATTTTTCATGTAGAATCCAAATATGGGCTTGGATTTAAGAAAAGAACTTTCCTTCCTCAAGAACCAAGTTGGCCAAATAGGGGTATAGGTTTTCTAAAAATCATAACTTTGATTTTAATGCTTCCAACACTTGTTCTTTAGGTTTATCCTACACCATTTTCCATTTTGAACACCATGGAAGTATCAAAACTTTGAAAATCTCATCCTAGGTTAGGGTTCTTGAAGTGGCTGAATCATACCCCTTAAAGGTCAACCATGAAATCTTTTCAAAAACAACTCCAAACCACATGAAACCACCTTTAACTATAGTATTCTAACTATGCTTAACAACAAAACTCCTCTCCCCTAACCATTGTTCATTTTGGCCAACAACCAAAAGAGGGAAAAGTAGAATTTTTGACCATCACACTCAAGAGAATCAAGCAAGAAACAACACAGAATCAACTACCAACCTTAACTCCAAGATTACTTGATCAAAGATGGTTGCTTTCTCCTTGTTTCCACTTCAAGCTCTCTCATTTTCACTCTCTTCTTCTCTCGGCTGAATCATTAGGTCTGAAAATGGGGGAGGAATTGCTCTCTTAATAGCCAAAATATCTCAACTACCAACATTAATGCTATGCCAAGTGTTAACTCCTTAATTAGTCTTGAATCTCTCTCTTAACTTAAATCCAAAAGTAATTAATTTCCAAAGTCAAAATCCTCCCCATTTAATTCTTAACACTTGAAAACTTTAATTACTCTCTAATATTGGCTTGACAAGTGGCAACTTCTAGGTCAAGTAAAGTACAAGACTATCTTCACTTTATCAGTGTACTTTTACTCCGAATTTAATTTCTTTTCTATAATTACATTATTATGGCCTCTATAACTATTTTTTGTCAAATTCATGAATTATTCTCCTCATTCTTCTCTTCTCAAAATGCCCTCTTTATCTCAATCTCGAATTCCCATTAATTAAAAAAAAAGAAAAACTATTTTTCCCTTTTTATTAAGACTTCTCTACTTGTCATGGGAATTATGGAATATCTTGGATATTTGAGGGACTCTTTTTAATCCCAATATCTCTTATAATTCCTTGGGGTATCATAGGAATTTTCTTAGAATTTTTTGTTCCTTAAAAACATTTATTTGGAATTTTCCAAATAAAAGGCTTCAAATTAGCTTAAATCACCCTTAAATTCTTTTGTCATAAAATCAATTATTCATCATGATATATTCCTTAAGGAATATTATCCTTAATTTTTCCTAATTTTCTGAGACTTGGAAATATTTTTCCATAATTACTTGTTGACCAATTTTTATTAATTAGTCAAACTTCTATAATTAACTTGGAAAATCACCATTAAATATTTTCATCACTATTCTTCTATTTCTTCTTATCATTTTTGGCTCTTAATTGTTTAGGAATATCCTTATTCCTAATTAACATATTACTAGATGTGACAGCTGCAGCGACATTGTCCCGAAGCAAGTAAGAGATCAGGAACTGCAGATCATGCTGCGGTGAAGGTTTCCTAAGAGGAATCCCAGAAAAATCCTATAAGGTGGCCGTGGCAAAGCAGAATTGTGGATGGGGCAAAAGGTTCAAAAGAGTGCGAAAACAGAGTTTGACCTAGATGCAGGTACAAAACCCAGATTTTTAAATGGATAAATGCAAAATTATGACAATAACTAAATGCAACTACCCTAATGCAATGCAATCTACCAGGCTCTTCTCCCAATCAAACAAGGGTTTGATACTCAGCTACAAGAGAGTCAAATTAATGACTCCCCAGCAACAATGCGATTGATTTGACCGAATTACAATGCCTTGGGAGTCAAGATCACAAATTAACCAAAAATTACACTATGGTGGCACAACCTCGGGTCATTTCACTCGTGGAGCCTTAATTGAAACCTAATAGCTAAGTGCCTAAGAAACTTGTAAAATTGGGACTGGTCGTTGAAGATCATATTGAGAAAAACGAAAAGAATAATGCAAAGGAAATACTTATTTTTGGGGTTTTTGTTATAAAAGCAATGTAAAGGAATGATTTGGATTAAAGGGATTCAATAAAAATGACTTTAGCAATGGGGATTGAGCTATCCTTGCTCTTTCAAAATAATTGGGAGTTTAAAGCCACTAAGTCTGGATTAAAACCCTAAATGATCATTTAGGTCCAATGCTTGAATTAATGAAAACCACTTTGACCAAAATGAATCAATACCTTTTCAAAACACCATTATGAAAACTACAAAGTGTGCAAATGAAGGAGATGATGCAATGCTTTCTCTTGGTTACTAATTAGCACACAAGAGTTAATGGCAATCAATCGACTAACAATAATCATTGCAATCAATTAAAAGCCAAAGTAAAAAGATAAAGCCATATATAAATCAGAAACACATTACATCATTTGGTTCAGATACAAATAAATCAATCACAAGGAAAAACTGATCAGTTATCCAAGGTGGTAAATATAGCATTCAACCCTAAATCTAGAAGTTCAAATATACATGACCACAAAGATTGAAATAGAAACTCCTAGTGCAATCCATGAGCTCAAGCTTGCATCCCCATCACTAAAGATCACCAACTCCAGCCACTCATAGCTCTAATTTTGCTCCAATCGATTACAGCACTCTTGACAGCTAGGGATGATGAAATGGTATGGAAAGTAGGGTAGAGATAGAATGGTGAAGAATAATCGGTGCAGAATTGAGAGATTGATGGTGAGATGAAGTAAAAATGAAGAATTTTTTGGGTGGACGTGGTGGAGAGTTGAGAGGAAGTGATGGAGGCCAAATCTGGATAAAGTCTGACAGGTGACTGCCTCAATTTTTGAGCCTTTAACCTAATTTGGAAGCCCTCTATGTCAGCTAATTGAAACTCTGCGCTTTGCTGTCTGAACACTTCACCACGACGAAGTGGTACCAACAGGTATTCCTGAGAATTCGAAGGATTCATCATGGCAAGGCCATATCTTGTGTCACGGCAATAGTATCCAGCAAGGGTGATTCCTTCATGTTCTTCTCTTGGCTTGGATTTCTGCATCCTTCTACTTTAAGCTCCCCATGATGTTTTTCAAGGTCTTTGACTCCTTCTTTGGTTCTCTAGATCCTTTCATTTACCTGCAACATTAATATAACTTCTTATAATATCTAGCTCTTCATGATCCAAGGTAAAAGAAAATCAACTAAGAGTCATTAAACACACTTGAAAAAGCATGAATTAAATGCAAAAAGACATTGATGAGAATTGGCTCAAAGATAGACAAGTGTGTGAAAACACTTCAAAAACCTTGGAATTAACTCAAGAAAGAGTGTAAAAATAATGTCAAATCAGGGTATTTAGGTCTCTTTCTTAGTCATTCTTGAAACATCAAGCTATTCCGTCAAATTTAAGATGGAATCAAACACATTTCTTTGAATTTGAGGCGAACTACATTATTTGAAGCTTATAAATATAGCTGCTAGTACTAACTTTGGTTCTTATGGTTCTTAGTATGAAAACTTGGTTGACTAATTTGAAGAATTAAAAGAGTTACTAAATTACTTTAAACTATTTATATTTGTCATTTCTTTTCAAACTACATTGCCTCCCTTAGTGACATGTAATCTAATAACCCATATAAGTATTTTAGAAAAATTATACAACATACGCAATGAATGATAGGTACTCATTATTTTACTCATAAATTTTTGTTCTTTGAATCACAAATAGTATTGAATATGTGTTCAATTGTAAATTTATGCTATGTAAATACTAGTAAATATTCATAGTTGAATAAATTAAATTACAATTTGTGACATCTTTTGAATAGCAAATTTAAGAGCTTTTTTAATAATTGATTTGTGTATCCTAACCTTCGATACAATCCTCCCTTTTTCCTTCGGCAGTGGTAATGGAGAATCCAAAGAAAGGGGAATCGAATCACTGGTAACCCAACCAAACAATATTTTAACGGAATCATTCGATTCATACCAATAGCCAAGCCAATCTCTATATGATGGATACTTGGATAGTCCTAAGGAACTCCAACTGACGCAAGGCGATTGGCATTACCTAACAATAGGAAGCACGAAACTCGTACGACGGGATCTGGTGAAGGAAAAGGCATTACTATGTCTAGTGTAGCAATTAAGATGATGAAACAGCACAAGATATTCATGGAACAAAGTAATACAAATAAAAATAAATAAAGCTTTTAAATATGAATTCATTTGGGTAAGAAGTTACAGTATCAATATACCTTCTGAAACCAACAGCTTAACAAAATCTAGGAAAGATAGCGGTACAATTTTCTGTCACTTTCATCCCTCTCTAAGAATTCCCTCTCAATAAGAGATTCAACCCGTTTCTTTACCTCTGTTGGATTTGCCAAGAATCGTGATTGCAACTGCTTTGTGACCTCAGCTATAAGATTGTTATGATCAAGTTGTTTCCTCGACTTCATGATCCTTACAATTGCTGCTTCAATCTGAGGCTTCCTGTCCTCCTCTACTCTCTGTCGAGTTTCCTGTTTCTCGGGCTCAGATTCCTTTTGTGCTACCACTGTTCCAATTTTCACCTTATATAATTTGCTACTGAACTTGTCATTAACAAAGAATGCGTCATCCTCACCAACTTCTTTACTCATAGGCTCCTTTCTCAGGACATTTCTTCCCTTAACTAAAGCAAGTGATTGGAGGCATCTCTTTAAATCTGAAGCCGGAATTTCAGTTGCTTGCTCAATTTCCTTGTAGGTCAGTCTATCGGCATTATTGAACAGCATCAGAACACACATTTGGTAAGTGGAGACATTTAGCTCATGCTTCTGGCCTTTTGCGAAGTTTGCTTTTAAGTCTGCTGTGCCCATGTTAGTTTGCCAAGACAACCTCCTGCCGGTATGGGTGCCAAGGTAATAGGACCGAAATTTCTCACATAGTGCCAACATCTCAGCTGGTAGGTTGCATGTAACCGGAGCCTGAGTTGGCCACGAACCTGTCGTCAGAACCTGAACAGTTAATGTAGGACCATCGGCTAGCTCTGGGTGGCCGGAATAAAAACCTTGCATTGTGTCTTGAGAGGTTTTCATGTCTGTAAACATGCCCTCCAATTTGGAAGTAAATTGATAACCGCATTCTGTCTTGAGCTTAACTATGAGGCTTCTCTCCGCATCATCAGAAACTGTTTTTCCAGACAAAAGCCGTTTGGCCAGGTGCTGTTTGTAGTACTTCTCAAACATATCTTTTTCCTGCAAGAATCGAAACAGCATCATTACCTTGTCAAAAGTAATCTCCATGTCATCCTCACTAACCCCCTTCAGACCTTTACGAAGCTTATCATCCACAAAGAGTGAAATGAACTCTGGTGATCGAGGATTTAAGTTAATGAAGTATTCGAATGAGGAATTTAAGGCATTCTGGAAAGACTTGTCATTGTTAAATGCCAAATTTATAATCTTGTCATATTTGTCTTTCTCATCTAAAAGCCTCTGAACAAATTCCACAGGGTCCTTCAACTTTTCTGGATCAGAAATAAGCTGTTTCCCAGACTCTCTGATGTGGCCAGTCATCACTTCTCGTATTCTTGAAAGACCATCATTAACTCGACGGAACAAATTATACATTCTACCCAAATCTTCATATCTATCATCGCAAAGCATATTAATCAACCCAGAATTCTCCATATGGATTAACGTAAGCATGTGATTTTCAATCATCTCCTTCTCCACCACATTAGTGATTTTCTTTTCACTCCTAGGATCCAAATAATGGCTTACTCTATCTATTTCCTCATTCAAATGCCTTTCAGCTTTCTTAAGGTAATCCCCACAATCACAACATTCAATGAATCTCTGCGATTCCACTCTGTAGAACTCAGCTGAAACCTGAAGAAAATGAATCTCAAATTCTTGGCCATAAACAGAAGGACCTAAATCCATTAGAATCTTCGTTATATTCCTCATTAGCCCTCTATCAATCATTTCACCAGTACGTTCTTTATGTACTAAATCCAGGAGTGTGCTCAACAATCGAGTCCTAATCTGACTGGAGTAAATAACATTTTCTCTCCACAGGTTCAACCCAAGTTCATGAACAGGGGTCTTCTGGGAGCTAGGGATGTAAGTCCTATCCATATACATCAATATGTCTCTTATCATTTGCAATGCCTTATTATGATCATTCCATTTCCTATTCAGTTCTTCTAGAAAGGAAGCTCCTTGAGCAGCTTCAACAGATTTGGCTATATCTCTAAGATGTCCAGTCATAGTAATAACCAACCCAGCGTACAGCTTCTCACCAAATTTGTGAAGCACCATGTTATAAGCATTTCTAAATTCAAACAGAAATAAAAGGGAGAAAATTCAGAAACAAACAAAAAATGTTTTTATGAGAAAATTTAGAAACAACCAAAAAATGTTTTTATCTGGAAAAGAGTAAAAAAAGGCAAAACACAACTTTGTTGATTGTGCACATATTAGCCAGGAAAATTCAAATACCACATTCATATTATCAAATGTCCAAAGTAAGACATCAGATCAACACTGTGTAGGTGTGAACAACTCAATTAAGGAGAAATACTTGAGAAACTTGGCTACAAACTCCAATAAAAGTCCAACCACAACTGAGGCACCTATTACTTAAAAATCCTTGCCTAAATTACATTAGAAGTTGCATGCGAGATCACAAATATCATTGGCATTAGATTACCATGTTGCTTAGCTACACTTGAGTTAGAGTCATTCTCATTCTCATTAGAGGGGGATCCTGTATAATAATTTCTTGGCAATTCCTTTTTCAAGCATGTAGGACAAGAACAATTTCATGATAAGGACAACATATCAAGACAAGTACAAGTTATGAGGTGCTGGTAAACTAATGAAAATATTTGACCATCAAGTGTAATCCTACATCACAGGAACTTATCTCCATTCTCCAACATAAAGACCATACAGAACCATTGAAAGTTTTCAAAGTAAACACTTAATAAGCATAATATATGCATATGGGCCAGCCACATGCATCACTTAATCTAACAATTCATGAAAATTAAAGCAGCCACAAGAAAATGATAGAATCAGCTGAATTTGGCTCCATCATTTCAAAGAGTCTAGGGAGGCAAAATGCAACGAACAGCACAACTATATCTCCTCAAATTGGGTACATAATAGCAAAGATAAATGTCAAGCTGGTCTAGAAAGACTAGGAATATGTTTGAATCATTATGAAGATAAAGTATACCATTCGTGCACTTCTAAATTATCAATAAGCTAATGTGATCCCATAACATATTGAACGTTAGTGGAATAGCGAACAGAAGCAAATTTCGTGTAGATAGCAAAACCGAACTTCTTGAAGAAAAGAGAACGAAGCCTAAGATTCGTAGTACAAACGGTAATAATCATAAGAAGCAGAGGCGAACCTGTAAAGCTCTTCGAAACTGAGACCACTAGCGTTGTGATTGTAAATCTCATGAATTGCATGCTCCAGAATCTTCCAGGTCCTGTCTGCATATTTTGGATCCATCACAACTCGGTGTTTAAACGCCTCTATTTGAAAATTCCTCTTCTTCTGGTTACTCATCTTCTTCTTATAATTAAAATGGAACAAAACAAAAGCCCAGATCCAAAACCGCAAATTTCTTCAACCAAAAGTAGAGATAAATTTTCAGATTGAACAAAAAAGCAAAAAAAAAAAAAAATCAACTTGCAAAACTAAGATAGAAGAAAGAAACTTTTTACAGAAAAATTGCTAACAAAAGATCAATCGTTGTAAGAATTAAGTAGAATCAAAAGAAACAAAGATTGCTCGAGGCAGATTGCAAGTAGTTTGCAGCTTTGGAACTACTCTCTGAAGGAGATGATGAGGCTGTGTTTCTTCGACTTACCCAAAGAAACGTTTCGTTAAGCCTAAGTTTGGCTCAACAGAGGGTAGAGGGTAGAGGAGAGGAGGTTAATTAAAGGCAGCCGAAGGAGATGGAATCATGGAAGGTTATCAGTTTTATTTGGTTGGAATTAGAGGAGAAAGAAAGGGAGCAGAGCAGAGATTTTTTTTTTAAGTTTAGGAGGAAAGGAAAAAAAAAACTAATTATAAGATGATAAATATATTCTTATCTTTTTATTTAGATTTTCTTGTTATTTTGTTATAATATTTATATCATAATTATTATTTTCTAATTTATAAATATATAAAAAAATCACCTTGCGATATAACAAATAGATTATAATAATTATAAATCAAAATAAAAGTCAATCAAAGAAGTATATTATCATCTTTAGCATATTATATAAATTATAAATAAATTTATGTAACAAACTTTGAAATATTTTATCATTAATTAGATAACGTGTGTAGCCTCACGTGTTTAATTAGATAAGACACAGAGTCTTGTGAAAAAAAAATTGAATTAAAGTAGGTATATATGGACACGCATATCAATGAATTTGATGATTGATTCTCAACAATTTCAACTCACATAAACCAATAAAGAATAGCTTTATACAAAACAAATGAGTAAAAAAAACACTAATAATACTGATAAGATTAATGAAGTGGAGATCAGGCAAAAGGAAAAGATGGAGGAAGATTAATGGCAAAAGGCATGGGGAATAATGGAATTAAAAAAATGTAACAAAAAAATATGTGAGGAGTAAAAAAAAAAAAGAAAACATGTAGGAGCTGAAAAGAAAAAAAAAAAAAAAAAGGAAAAATCCCATATAAATACCACTTGAATTCTAAAATTTCAAATTACTCATTCTAATTTCACAAAAGACAAATAGGTCTACAAGTATTAAATTGGGATTTACAAATTTTAACAAATTACTTCAATGCCCCTTCTCTCATCCTTGTTTGTCTTCTCTCTTACTTCATGTTCAGAGAGCTCTTCTTTCTCTTCAGGTCCTCTTCTTCTCCGAAGGATGCCGAACTGAAAGGGTAGACATGAATTGTCAAAGGATTTGGTGAAGAAGAAGAAGAAGATGTGATCTCTGCTATAGCATTTTGATATGTTCCTAATGAATATTTTATAATGTTTGGGGTTTGAGACTTGCTACCTCTTGTCTTTCATCTTCCCTTCTCAATCTCATCACCAACACTATAAGAGGGAGAGAGAGAGAGAAATAAGTAAAGTTTAGAGAACAAGCAGAGAAAAAACAGGGAAGAGAGAGAGAGGAAGAAGAAGCACCCACAGAACCAAGGTACTTTTATGCAAGGTTTGAGAGTATATTGATTAACTCTCTACTATCTTCTAATAAAGTTTATTCTTAACGTCTGCTATTTTGTTAGTTTCTATTTTCTGCTATGTTCTGTTAAATTAGGAATGAGCAATAAATTTCATTAGCTAAGCAGTAAATTTCGATATTTGAGTAGTAAATAGTCCTGATTCGTTTGTAGTGAAATAACAACACTTAAAATGACTATATTTGTATTAATAATAACAACTTTTTCGTAAAGTCAAGGAGATTGACTTGTTATTGAAATTGAACTAATTTGTTAATGAAACTGATCAGATTAGTTATAGTAATGACTACATTGTTGTGAAGCAAAATTAAGTTAAGTGGGTTGTGGGATTTACTACGCTTTGTAATGGAATTGACTATGTTTCTTTTGATAATGATTAGATTATTGTGAAAAAAATATAGTATAGTGGAAGTGAATGACTATAAAGTGGGATTTTTGCAAGAGGAAAAAATGGTATTAGAAGAAGAGCCAAGGAAAGAAGTGAAGAGCGGATGCATATTGTCTCAAAGAGAATTTCCTGGGACAGGGAAGAAGTTTAAGAAGAGTGTTGTGCACGCAAATGTATTGTCCAACTATTGTTATAATATTTGACTTATGATTGTAGATATAATTTGTTTACAAAAATATATCTAATCACTATTATTGCACATTTATTGATAACAAGTGCAAATTATGCTTAACCTTTGGATGTCATTATAATGAAGGTAGCTTTTAACAACATTTGTGAAGTTATTGACAACTTTCATAATGAATATTCCAATTTTGATAATGTGTTTTATAATCTCTTTATTTGTAACCATTTCTAATCCATTTGCACACAATTTTACTAAATATATAATGAGAATAACAACTTGTGAAATAAAAATGACCATTTGCATAAATAGTTTTATAATTTGTTATAAGCTATTTGCAAACAGTTTTACAAAACAAGTAAAAGGAATCACAACTTAGGTAATGAAAGTTGCCATTTGCATTATAGAATTTGCAACTTGTTTATTTGCAACTATTTTCAATGCTTTTGCCTACAATTTTACTAAATATATAACGAGAATAACAACTTATAAAATGAAAGTGATCATTTGCGTAATGAGTTTTGCAACCTATTTTAATCAACGTGTTAGTATCTGAAAATGTTCAACCGCCTTTTCTTTTTCTTACTCCAGGGGTGCGTTAGTCACTCTACCAAAATCTACAAATTCCAAATTTATACCTCATACTTATTTGGTCATTTTATTTATTTGGATCACATTTCTGTCTTTTTCAATTTTAGTGAGTAATTTTTTGTCATTTTCCCTAAAAAAAAATTTTTACTGAAAAGGATAAACTTAAAATATTTAAAAACTAACATAGATAATTTAGTTAGGATGAGATATAATATTTTTCTCCCCTCTAACAAAACTCTAAATTTGGAGCAGAAAAAGGAAAGGGGAGTACTAAAAGACAAAATTCTTTTCCTACCATCCTTTTTATTTTTCTAAACCAAACATAGTTTCTCCTCCCCTTTCCCCCTCCCTCTAAACTTTCCAACCAAACATTGCATAAGAAAATCGAGTTTTTCAATTAAATATTTTCAGCACCTCTTTCATTTTATTTAGAAAAATTGGAAAAAAAAAACGAGCTAAAACTTGCTAAATTTTAAATCAGGTTTAGTAATAATATTATATTTGGTATTAATAACATTAAATTTGTAAATAATAATAAATTTTTATTAATATTTTTATTTAATATTTAGTAATTTTTAACTTCTTTTTTATGGTTTTCCTTTTTATTTATTTGTTTATTATTATTATTATTATTATTATTATTATTATTATTATTATTATTCTCACATATGTGTTGGTGAGCTGCAAACAACATTTGCGATTTAAAAAAGTACTTTTAAATTAAATAATTTAATAAGGCACAGGATTGCACCGCTGGAAATTTTAAAATGATAAATCACTTCTCCAATTTTATATGTAAGAGCTAAGTATATAACTGACTTATAAATATTAACCATCTATTCAATACCAAGAAAACGGAGTGAATGAGAGTGAAAATTTTAATAAGATCAATTTAAAGACTTCGAAAAATTGGGTTATTGTTATAAATATTGTATATATGTGGATGTTCATAACCCCTGACTCTTAGATTCTTCGTAGAACTCTTGATCTTTGAATGTCCTAAACCCATAACCCCCCAATGAATGATTTAAGAGGAGTTTTTCATGTTTATTGTCATTATTCCCTTATTCATTTCTTTATAACCCTTGGATTAACTTTAATGGTTGGAGGCCTATAAATAGAGACCATATACAAGGCATTTACACCCATATATGTGTGTGAGAAATACTCCTTGTTTTTTTTCTCCAATTTTTGTCTTGCTATTCTCTTTCTACTCTCTAACTTTCTTATTTTTATAATAGTCAATTAATCATACACTATAAGTCTCCTAAATTCATTTGTTTCATTTAGAAACATCCTTGCATTTCATTTAGAGACAAGAAGGAGATTCTTACTCAACATATAACCCGACTTTTTTAAATATCTATTTATGTGCATTATGGTGGGCTGATAGTAATAAATATTGCACACTTAGACTTCTAAGATGGAAATTTTTGGCTCCTGACCAAAAGCAAATTTTATTGGGAGAATTTGTTGGCTTAATATGTATAAGGGCTATAAAATATCAAATCAAATATGCCAATACTGAAATGAAGATCTTGTTCTCAAAAGTATTGATCTAGCTACTCCTCAATACTTTAATAAATTATTCTGCTTAATCATTCTATTAATTAGGTTTTTCAACCATTTTCTAACAAATATATGATAATCATTCAAAAGTTAAGATATAAACTCACTAGTGTTTACAATAGAAATTTTCTAGATCGCACTTTTTTAGAAATGTGCACTCAACATATATAATGATCTATTCAATTAGTCTTGCAAACTTCAGATTACAAACCTAATAATAACACATGTAACCTTGTTATAGATGCATCTATCAAATTTATTGAATACTTATATGGTTTATATGCTATCAGTATGGGTCCATATATCTGAATTTGATATATTTCCAGCAATGTACAAATCTATTCCACATCATAACTAGTGATATCAACATAATCAATTTTCCTTTGATAACAAGAACTACATGAACTCTTGAATCATATAATATGTTGTCTATTCATGAAGAATCTTCTGGTTCTTCAATGGATGTCAATAATAATCATCAATAATTTATTACACCATATATATGATTCATGATGATCGAACAAAACACATCAACTATAAATCTAATTAGGCAAGTAAACTTCTAGTTCATTGTAACAAGTTTCTTATATAAGTAAAACTCTATCTAACATCAACTCACACTTATATTAATTCAATTAGGCCGTTGCTTTTTAGGCCATTTAGAGAATCGAAGTTCTGATATAGATCAATTGGTCATGTTTTTCACCATCAATTCCTTATTGGCCCATAAAAAAAATTTGTACTCCTCCGGTCCTTATTATAAGACCCAATTTGACTTTTTATTTGGTCCTAATTATAAGACCCAATCCATTTTGTCTCTTATATTTATGCATTTTTTTCCAAGATAATCCTTCTAATAATGATAGTTTTAGCCAATATACTTAATTAGTAAGGATATTTTAGGAATGACAACACTTATTTATTATAAATAACCAACTTAACTTACTTCCTTAATCTCCTCAAATAAGTCAATTGGGTCTT